ACGACGATTTTACGTTGAAAATAACTTCAAGGTCATTAAATCGGTAGGCACAAACGTTAGCAGTCACGAGTTTGAATTTGTGGAGCTCTCAAGTAAAGAAAAAAAATTCTCCTTCTAAATGGAAGTCTAGCTCTATTTATTTTGACTAATTTCATCATGTTGTATATCAAGAAAATACACAATAGGAAAATATGAAGTTTTGTCACTACTGAATTGCATATGGCTTTAAGCCGACAATTACTCCATGATATTTCACTTACTTCTACCATGTATGATTCACTGTATTTTGCCAAACCGTTAACTAGAAACAAATAACATTGTCAATCTATTTCATAGAATTTTAATCCTTGAATATTAGCTGAATAAAACAGTCGAAATCGAACGACCATAATTTAAATAAAACAAAAAATTATCATCGGCTTAGAAAATTTTTTATCATACAAAATATGACATTACTGCACCATTTCCTAGTTATACGCTAACCCACGGAGATAATTAATAATGTCCGCATTATGAGTGTCATTTACAATAGACTTCCGCGTCCCAATTCTTTCCTTCGCGTCCCAGTATTTCTTCAACTTGACTGATGGCTGATAACTGGCAGCAAATTGTTCGTAGTATATTTCCCGGCCCTCATTGCGGAACCTATCAATTACCTGCAAATATATTAACTCTGACTCGAGGTCAAATAACAATGCGTTGCCTTAGCCACCGCGCGCAGTCATAACTATGGAATCATAAAATAAAATGAAAATCACCTACATTTAGTCTGACAACGGCATCGCACTGTACTCGCAGAGAGCTCCCCACTGATAGGCTATGATGAAGAACTATCGTTGCAGATGATCATCTGGCAACGATATACAATCAAACTCGTGACAACAAACTGCTCGCTAAACTACTGACATCGCAGTCGTCAAAATGGAGTTGTGATAAGAAATTCGCAGGTTTGACAATGGCACGTACTTCACTCACAAAGAGCTATCGACTAATATGCAATAGACTGAATCATGCAACTGATGCAGATGACTGCTGTCCAGCTATAATGATTCAATGCGGCGATTGCAGGACCAAGCGCTGACATTAAGCAGCGGTCTGCGCCAAAAAGTCATAGACCAACAATTCCTTGAAACTAGGGAGACGCTATCATGATACTACTATCAAGATTCTAGATCGATAGCCCTTTGATTAGACCACGATTTTATTACATTTTAGCACCTGCGATGTATTGATATATCTCGTACCATTCTATAGGCCAAACCAATAACTTGCTATCAATGATCTAGAGGTTGTGTCGCTACAGTTATATATTACGCTCTATCAGCTAAATAAAAAGGCAGATTCAAACACCCGGAGTACTTCAATAAGTAAAATTTCAAGAAACCAGATTAAACGATGTTATGGTAAACAAAGTAAACATACTATTAAGAAGAGCAATGAAAATGAAAAACACAATTCGCTTTAAAAGGGGAAACAAACGGTAAGAATAAAACGGCAATTCTGTGAAACTGCTTAAATAAAAACTCGAACAACGAAGCTGGGGAACATAAAACTTTATTCATCATATCAAATCACAAACACAAACGGTGCAAAGACTTCTAAGCAATGTACTATTCAAAAGTAGTCCACAGATGGATTCGGTTTTTCTGATGACGCATTTTGGAAGCAAAAATTACGGAGGCTTGGATTTTAGTACGGAAAAACATTCAAATGAGCTCGAAGATGGAAACGTTCCGGCTTTAAAAGCTTTTTGTGGGAGTGGTTACAAATTTTCGGCCAGCCAATCAAGTCATAAGTAGCGCGCATAAAAAGTTGGCGAAGCAACATTCTGTCTCTATATAATCGATTAGGACTTTCCAGACAGTGGTGTTGGGCGCACACAGAAAAATGCCAATGTTATGTGACTATGGCATAACTAATAAACAAAAGTTTACTACAAAAGTTTAAACAGATTTTCTTCCAAGTAAAACGATCTGATATGGAGTTCTTACTCGGCTATTCAAAATGGCGCCATCAGAAATCGATAAAATATTCAGCATCTGTCAGGACAGATTATACCATTTTCAGACGAGCCTTCAGGATGAAGAACCACCTTGTTTTAGGTTTGCAATGAGATTGATCAGAGCCTACAATTCGGTCGGAGAACACCCTTTAACATCAAATGCCGTTCGAATGTTCGTCCATACATTCGCCAAGGGACACGACAAGTGCATTTAAAAATTAATTATATTTGACAAATCACAGTAACTATAACATTTTTTACTACCGGATTTCCACGGAGTACAGGAACCGTCCCCTTGCTTCTAAAGGCATAGGGGACCATTCAAGCAGGATACAGCTTCATGGTATTTGGGCATCTGCTGTGCATGGATGCAAAACCGCATTCTCATAACTGTTTTAATTCTCAAAGACCGGCAAGAGAAGACATTAATATCTGTAAAACAGAATTCATAATAAAATGCAGCACAGGAATTGATGAAACGTTGAAACAAATATATACCACTGCATAACTTGCAGAATTCGGATTCGTCGCGTGACGTAATGAGATTAAGTCACTCAGACACTACTGGTGGCAATTTCAGTGGAATGCAAGGCCAAAGGTTGGGCGCGTAAACACTGCAGAATTCGTCGAACTTTACTTGCAGAAGGTTTTCCAATTTACACAGATCAAAACTGCTCTGGCCAAACAGCTGATTTTTCACGCTTGTGTCCACTGAAAATATTCACATCAAAAAATAATACACACAACAACTGATTGACAATGTGACCTGCAAAATGCAAGAATCGTTGTTGTGTTTAAACTATTACAAAGCTGGAAACTGTTGCAACTCTATACCAATTATAACAATTATAAATAACGATTGATTTTTTAAATGGAAATTTTTTAAATGTAAACCCATGTGGCGTTCTGCATATTTAAAATCTGCATTTGCAATACGATGACAAGACAATGACCAGCGATACAACTTAAATAGTAAAAATTTTATTCCCTAATATAGCTTTCCGCGAGGATCAGGTTTTGACCAGCCTGCCAATTGTCAGCAAACGAACTGCTTCAGTTGATCCCCCACTTTAACAGGACAGGATGAGATGTAATCAGTCAATGTATTAATCAGCACTGTCGATTAACTTACGACGCTAATTCTTCTGAAGGCTGCTAGAATGATTTTTTGTTTTTTTGTAGAATCTTTAACTTTTTTACCAGGTTTATTAATATTTATGGCACTAAAAGTTCTGAACCCTGATTTATGGTAGTCAATCATCTGGATAAAAACGGTTTAAAGAAAACAGTTAAACTTATTTAGTAAGATTTCTCCACTAGCGTATAACTGAAAACATAGGGTAAAGTTATTCAAACATTATGGCAAAGCGGTTCAAAGTAAGAAATGTCAGCAGCTTCGAAACGACGACAGTTAAGTAATTGTCAAGAGAAACGATAGAATCTGCTGTTCTCACATAGTCTTTCGTCACCATTACGATGATGCGCACAGAAAATGAAAAAACACGGCACTCACGAATGATAAACTTCTCAAACGCCTGAAATTTTGTTTGGATAAAACATATCTGGAACGATAACAACGTAACAGCAAACCAGGAGGTGTAGCCACAGGCTACCCAATCCTTTCCACAATGACAAATTTATACACAGTTGAATTTAAGGATACTGCTTCAGCCTTCTGTCTAGAAAATCAGAGAATTTGGTGGCAATCTGCCACTGATAAAAACGCCGTCGCATTATGCCGAACAAATGATAACTTCGCCGCTGTCGGTTCCAAGCCCAGTTCAGAAAAGAGGAACTGTTGAGAATGTGGAGAAGTTTCCGTAAACGTTCGCCACCTGCCATTCCCGGTATTGATGTCTTCAAAAATCATACCGGATCGTCCATCGCCCCGTGTTACCAAGGGCCGCGCAAGGCTGTTGGCGGAGAGAGGCAGAGAGGTCGGCGATCAGAACCTACTCATCGCCCTCTGCCAGTCAGGGGTTGTAGCAGCACAACAACGGCTGAAGAAAACCAATGGAACGACGACGAAGATACCAGTCAGCAACGGAGTCGCTACCCGTAACGAACGTAGGAGGCAGACAGACAGCACGCTGCCATTATAGCACGTCAAAAAAAGGCCCTCGAGTACGACACCACTAGTGGGAGCTTAAAGACGGAAATTGGAACATATCCTCACTTAGAGCGAAAGAAGAACAGCTAGTTGATGAGGACAGAGTACCAATTCCACATTGTTGGACTCTCGTCAACGAAGCATTAAGGCTCTGGACTCCTGAACCTGAGCGAGTGGAAGCAATTCTACTCAGATGTCGATATCAAAACTCGCGCTCAGGCCGGTTTTGGCGTTCTGGTAGAACCCAACCTTGCGGACAGAATTATTGATTATAAGCCTGACAGCGGAAGGGTAGTAATTCTCCGATTGAAGATACAATGCTAAAGCGTTGATTTGGTACAGCTCTATGCGCCCAATTTGGACGAAGAATATGACATCCTCCTCGAGGAAGTGCAGTGTGATCTGTCCCAAGAGTCGAATACAGAGTCCTTCATACTCATGGGCGATTTTAATCCGCATGTTGTAGCAGACGCTGAAAAGTGGAACGGCCTGATTGGAAAAAACGGTCCTAGCGATCTCAACAACAAAGGCACGAAGTTATTGTGATTTTGTGCAAACAACGGACTGTAAATTATGGACACCTTCTTCGAACATCGAAGATCGCATCACCATATCTGGCACAGGGAAATTTGTGTACAGACGTTGACGATTCATTTGATAATTGCATCGTCTGAATTAAGACGCTCAGTAATGGATATTCGTGTTAAAAGAGGCACAGAGCTATCAACCGATCATCACCCTGTTGTTGGCACGCTGCGCTGTAAGAAATGGAGTACCATACAAAGATCCGGTCGCAGAAGCAACAGGAGAATCAAATGGGAAACATTGTCTTCGGCGGACACGAGAGCGAAATTTGTAAACAACATCGCACGACGGTTTGAACAGATCCCAGTGATGACAACTGATGTGGAAACCGAGTGGCAGCTGCAGAGGCCTACTCGAGGCTGTCGCCGAATGCTGCGGATATAAACGAGTTGGCCTGCCGCCTGGAGGTCAGAAAAAAACTTCATAGTGGATACGAGAGGTATAACTGGCAGTTAAAGAGAAGAAAGCAGCGTTCAAGAAATGGCTTGGAAACAAAGAACCTTCTACCGGCGTGCGATATTTCGAGGCACGAAAGCGGCAAAGAAAGGAGCAACGAAAGCCAAAGCTGATTCCTGGGAGAAGTTCGGTGAGTGTTTGAGTCGAACGTCCACACGAGAAACAAGGTATTCTGGCAGACCAACTCCGGCTCCGAGGTTAAAAGAAGGTCAGTCTAATAGCCTTGAAGGATGGGTCTGGATAACCCCTTATCGAGGAGACGGACGTCGTCTAGCGAAGGAGAGAGTACTTTGAGGAACTCTGTAACCACGAGCAACCGCAGGAACACTCGCCTGTATAGCAACAGGAAATTGAATATTACAATTTCTGTAGCAGAAATGATACGAACTCTGAAAATCTTAAAAAATGGAAAGCCTGCTGGAACTGATGAAATCTGCCCTGAAGTGCTAACGGCATTAGGCGAACAAGGCATGTGCTGGCTTACACATGTTCGTGAAACTGCGATGACAAGGGGAAGACAGCAGCGGACTGGGGAAGGGGAGTTGTTGCACCCCTGTTCAACAAGGCATACTGCAGGGAGTCCTGAAGTTATAAGAACATTGCGTTATTGAACCTCCCAGGTAAAACCTACGCAAAGGTGCTAGAAAGTAGATGCTGCGGAAAAACTGACTCCAAGGTAAAGAAAAGCAGTTCACTTCCGGCCCAGTTGAAGAATCTCTCACCATATATAAGCGCCGCACCAGATTGTTGAGAAATCGCGGGAGTACGCCCAGCCGGTGTACATGTGTCTTGTTGACCTAGAGAAAGTCTATGACAAGATGCCACGCAACAGTCTGTGGTCATGCCTTCGAGCATACGGGACAGATGGCCAGCTGCCAAGTGCCATCCAATCACTGTATTCTCGTAGCAGGTGCTGAGTCATAGTAAATGGCGTTAAGGAATTCAACGTTCGCACTGATCTCCGCCAAGGCTGAATCCGGTCCCCTCACCTGTTTGTGTTGTATATGGATAGAATAGTCAGGAGCAGCCAAAGCGATGAGAGTACCGGTGTGGGAGATGTGAAGATG